CCTTTGCTGTCCTGCTAGAGTGTCAGGATTACAGGGTAGGGGATACGCAGTAGGCCCAACATGTGCATGACCCCCAACCCACCCCCCCCCCGGACATGCTACCTGAACTCCGCATGCTCCAGGTGAGGGAACTCAGCCTGAGCAAAGGGGGTGCCCACAGCCCAGGGCGCACAGGGATGTGCGGGAGCCAAGTCCGGGCCATCGGGCCAAGCGAGAGAAGGGGAGGCAGGCCCGGCACGGGAGAGAGCTTGGAGCAAGCCAGGACTTAGATCTGAAAGCCATACGACTTTTCCAGAAGGTTTTCGATGGGAAGGGGAGGAGAGGAGGACGAGAGCCCTGAGCCCGCCCCTCAGCCGCTGCCCTCTCCGTGTGACCCTAAACTCCGAGCCAGGGGAGAGCTGGGGTGTGGGAAGAGCCACACTCTCACTGCTCAGCTTGGGACACGTGCTCCCTGGGGAGTGTCACACCGACCTCTCTTCGGTCCTGGCCAGTTTGGGATCCTGCCCCCGTGGGCGCCACCTCTGTTATAGGAAAACGAAGCGACCAGACACCGAGGGATTCTGGAGTACGAAGTTTATTATTTAACGTGCACGGGCCCAGAGGAGTCAGTCTCCAAATTCTGAGCCCCGAACAAAGGATTCTTGGGGGGTTATATAGCTTAGGGGTCTTCCTGTCTACGTGACAAACGTAGGATACAGAAGCAGAGTGTGATAATTGTTCTATCAGCGGGGGTGCTAGTTCCAGTCCTACTGACTATCCGGCCACCGGCCCCTCCCAGACAGCCCCATCATTCTCCCTAGGGTGCCTGGGCAAATAAAGGTTAAACAGGTTTTTCAAAGTTTCCCATATCACCTCCCCCGGCCCCCTCCTGCCATCCTTCTCCCACCCCTCCTCTCCCCCATCGCCTGGAGCTGCTGTCGCCCAGGCTGCCAGGCCCAGGCACCTAGCTCTGCCCTGGGTCGCCGAGTGGTCTCCTAGGGCCCCCACCCTTATGCTTCATGAGGGACCCCCTTCACTTCGGCCTGAGCCCTGGCACTTCCTCCGGGGCTGCAGGCATTTTCCAGGCAGGGCGAGCAGGGCAGGGGACTGGGGCATGGATCATTGGGCGGGCTGAGTGTCCCTGGGCACCTTGGGCACAGGGCTTTCTTTCTCCCACAAGTGTACAGACACGGCGTGGCACCTGGCCCCACCTGTTTCCCTTCCCCCGCTGGGTTTCTCGGTTGCCATGGCCAGGGGCACAGGCTGTTGCTGTTCAGCTTCCGGGACTCGCCCTGAGTGCCCTCATGGGTACGCTGGCCTTCCACCTCCCAGCCTAGTGCGGGCAGTGGAGCTAGGAAGGGAGCTCCCAGCCTCCAACTGCCGCCCAGAAGGCCTCACAACTTGGTATTACCGGACTCTCTCTCCGTGTCTCTTCCTGGCTTTCGTTCCCGGACGACTTGAACCACTTTTCTTTAAAAATGCCCCCACCCTACACCATAGCCCTAACACCACTTTGCTAGGCTGTAGGCATTTGCAGGAAGGGCTTAAAGGAGGTGGTAGACGATTTTCCTGAGGGGGTTGCCAGGTTGGGAAAAGGCTCCTGGCAGGAGGAGGAGCCAGGAGAAACTAACCAGCTGGAATGTTTAGGAAGTGAGCAGAGGGCACGTCCCTCCGGGGTTAGGGGGTGGATCCGGGTTCCGCTCAGTGTGACCTGGAGGCCACCCCACCCATGACCCTGTGCCCCCGAGTAGAACAAACTATCTCTTGGGCCTGGGGTCTGAAGGAGCTCGATCCCTGTGATCCTCAGTACAGTGGCCTGTCTCCTGCCGGCCCAGCACCCACCTCTACGCTTGACTCCACGTGCCAAGCACGGATCTTCGGTAAATCATTATCCAGGCATGGGATTACATTTTGAAGAAAGGAAGGGGAAGTGAGGAGGTGGTTACAATGCCCCGACAGCAATAAACCAAATCATGTGACCTCCTGCCGATGCTGCTCCCCGAGTACCCTAGAAACTCTCCCTGCAAATCTCTTCCTGGCCCCTGACTCTTCCACCTCTACCTTGGCTGTAGTCTCCTTTCTGACATTCCCATACCCCAAGCTGATACCCCCACAGGCAGTGAAACAACAACCAACACACCTAGGGAGTGTAACCTGGGAGGGGGCACTCGAGGTCATTCTGAAACCGGAAAAGCCAGCATTGATGAGCCTGTCACTCCCTGAATCAATAAGCAGAGATGGGGATCGGAACTTTATGGGCTCTTCATTCAGTGGCCAGTGATCTGAGAAGACGTTGGCTTATGTGTCCTAACAGACTGTCTTCCCTTGAACTTTTAAAAGCAAGTGTATATAGGGGAAAGGTGGGAATTTGGGAGGGGGAAATTCCCAGGGAGAGTGCAGATACGCAGACAAGCTGGTTCTAGTGGGAGGGGGAGCTGATGGGAGTCACGCAGCTTCTTCTCAAACTGGCTCCCTTTGTTCCTGTCTTATCTCTGTTTGCTCTGGCATCCCTCTGTTCCCCCACACCTGTGGTTCACCGGCAGCAAGGCTTGCCTTCTCTGGTTAGGGAGGAGAGGTATAAAGCGTTTGCTCTCCAGTGTCCTTGGTCAGAGGAGATAAGGTCTTTCAATTCGCCAGCTGGCTGTGTGTTGCTCAAACTGGCCTTAATTTTCTTGTCTCAGTTTTTTTGTGTCAGGTTTTGTTTTGTCGTGTATTTCGTCTTAGTTTCCCATTCCACTTGTCTCAGGAGAATTTCCTATCTCCTTACTGTCCTGTCTCAGTTCTACTGCAGCCCCGTTCAAAGACGAGAAAACTGAAGCTGGTCATTTGCCCAAAGACCGCAGGGCGGTGGGTAGTAGTTGACTTGATTCAGGCACCAAGCTGCCCACCCCCATCCCCCACCCCCTAAGTGTGCATGCCACGCCCTGGAAGGTGAGGAGGGGGGCCAGTGGGCCCAGGGGAGGTTGGGGGAACTCCCTGCAGCCCAAGGAGGGGAAGGACAGCAGATGTCAGAAGGGGACCGGGTTTAGTTGAGTCTGGCGTCCATGATGCCAGCTCCCTGCTAAACCTGACGTCTGCTGGCTCTTCCGGCTCCCTAGGCCCTCAGAGACCCACAGCTGCACCCCATCCCTGCTGCCTGGCTGCCTGGTGAGATGTTATCAGGTTGGCAGCATAGGGGCCGGGGAATCCCCCTGTGGTGACAGCTAGTCATGGGACGCTGACTCACTGCAGCCTGACCACCTGACCAGGCCTGGGCTGGCGGAAAGGGCCCCGCCAGGGGGTTCCGTGGCGGCAGCCTTGTTTACCTCTCCTGGCCATGGGGGAGGGCAATGGAAGGACCTGTACTCCCAGCTGGGCTTGCTGGGAAGGCCAAGCTGGGGATGGGGGGGGGGCAGGGAAGGGTTTCCAGGCCTGCTTCTCAGCGGGTGGCCGTCACTGCCCTCCTGTTTCTCCCTGAGTTCCCCATCCCTCTCTGCAACCCCCACCGTCCCAGACGGTGCCAAATCCAGCCGGTCCTGTGGGCAGCCTGTTTGTCAAATGCATGGGCAGCTCCTGGAGCCCTTCCTGAAACTGGGTGCCATGGGTTACAGGGCTTTCCTTATGTTCCCTCTCCCCACTCAGCCAGGGACACTGGAGCACTGGGAGTGGGAAGCCAGGCTCTGGCCCTGTCTGCAGGAGCTGAAGGCGCCCCTATTCTGCTGAGTCATACCTTCAGGCACCTGTGGGCAATGCAACCTTGGCCCAATACGGCCCCTTCTCCGTCCCTGACCCGTCTGCACAGCCGTGGGCGGAAGGTCACTTTCCCGGGCTCACAGTAGGGCGGCAAGGAGGGCCTGCCTTCACAGGAATGCCCGGAGCAGGGACAACGCACAGCGTGGCCTGTCTGGAGCGGCATGCTGTGGGAAGCAGCCACAACCGTGGACAGGCCCCGGACGGGCTCCCCTGGGCAGTCCCTGGGAACCTGACTCAGGGGGTTTCCCCCACTCCCACCTGACTCTGACTCAGCAGGCCTGGGCTTCTGCTCACAAGACCCCCCCTGCCTGGGAGGCTTCACAGAGTGACTACTCTCCCCGCTCCTGTTCTTCCAGGCCCCTTTCCTCCAGGCCTGGTGAACAGGTCACTTTTGTCACGTAAAGCCTGCTTCTTGGGTCCCAACTGTAAGGCAGTTGGTCTGACCGGTGGGCTGCCTGCGAAGCCAGCAGGCCTGAACCCCCCCAGGTTCTTGGACACCACCTGCTGAGCAGAACCCTCTTGCTGACACGCGGGATCCCACGGCAAGGGTCTTCCGCCACCGTACACACTTGGTGGCGACTGAGGCCTCAACGGGCCTCCCGCTGGGTGGGGGTGGGGTGCCCGTGCGTTTTCAGCCCCTGCGAGCCCGATCTCCTAGGAAACAGGGACCTCCCCGGGAGCGGGCCTGCGGCGGCGGGGCGCGCCCCTCAGCATCCCGGAGAAGGCGGGGCATTGGGTGGGCAGCCGCTGGGGCACGGACTGCTTCTTGCGGCCCGGGCTGTCTAAAGTAGCCGAGCAGGGGCAGCGCATCGGGAGCCAGTTTGATATGGTCGGCGGTGCTCGCCGGACGCCTAGGAGTGTCCTGGCTTCAGGCCTCTGCTGCCCCCCTCCCTCCTGCGTGGGTTCGGAACCCTGCGGTTCCGCCCCGAGGAGTCAGGCGAGGCCCGGGCCTGTGGCGGGACCCCTGAGCGTCCTTTCCCCCAGGGGCAGAGGCCCAAGTCCAGATCTAGGTGTCACAGTGTGGGGCGGCCTCTTGGGGTCTCCGGTGCGCAAGGGGCAGTGAGGAGCGAGGTCGGAGACCAGGGGGCCGGGGAGACCAGGGGGCCGGGGAGACCAGGGGGCCGGGGAGACCGGGAGAAAATGGCATGGGTGACGGCCCGGAGTGGGTAGCACGCGCAGGGCCGTGGCAGGGTGGCTCGCGCGCGGCAGCACGATTGTTGGGGGCGGGGTCAGGCGCGAGACCCCGCCCCAAGAGGCGGGGCCAGGCTTCCGGCGTCCCTTAGAAAAGCCGTTCGCCAGGGGGCCGCAGCTATCCGGCGCGACTGCTGCTCCACAATCGAGGGTGATGGCATCGCTCACTGTGAAGGCGTACCTTCTGGGCAAGGAGGACGCGGCCCGCGAGATCCGCCGCTTCAGCTTCTGCTTCAGCGCTGAGCCCGAGGCGGAGGCCGAGGCCGCTGCGGGCCCCGGACCCTGCGAGCGGCTGTTGACCCGGGTGGCCGCCCTGTTCCCCGTGCTGCGTCCGGGCAGCTTCCAGGCGTACTACCGCGGTGAGCGTTTCGGGCACCCTTGGGAGCGGCGCGGGGCCCGGAAGCGGGCCTGCCTGTGAGCAGGTGGCTGCCTGCTCCCTCTGGACGGGTTTGGTGACGTCTGCGGGGATTTGCCTTGGCCGTACCCTGGGTGGGCGGGGGCCCGCACGGGTCCTCAGTACAACCTCAGGTGCCAGCCTAGTGACCAAGAGTGGTGGCCAAGGCTGGCTTTTGCGGGACCAGGCACTGCCAGGCTCTCCTGGCGGGTCTCAGGCCTGGGGCGGAAGAGGCCTCCCCTCCCCCCGCCATGATGTTGCATATCTTGGCGAGGGAGCGCTGGGGCGTCTTGCTGGCTGGCAGCGGGCGCTGGGTGGGTGGTCAGGCAGGTACTCAGGTTACACTGGCATCTTGCTGCTGTTGAGTCTGGGCCTGCTAGTGCCAGGGGCGGGGGGTTCCGACTGTGCCCCGGAGAACCTGGGCTAGCTGGAAGGAGCGGTGACGCGGGTAAACAAGGGCGGGGGTGCGGGGGACTCTGGGACGTGCGGCCCCGGGCGGTTGAGGGAGGAGCGGTCGGGGACATACCGCAGCGCTCCCAGGCCAAGCTGAGTCCAGGCGTCATTGCACCGGTAGTGGGCAGAGGAACAAGATCAAAACCTTCCGAAGCGTCGGTGTGGGCCAGCAGTCCAGGAACTAGCTTAGTGTCTTGACTAGTGGCTGCGAGGGGAGGGGCGGAGAGGCAGAGGCGAGGCAGGCCCATGGGCGGGGTAGTGCCGGGACGTCCCTCCGGAGCACCGCCCGCTCCTGGTTGTTATTTTTGTAACAGTTTTGCTGAGCTGTAGTTCACATGCCATACAGTTCACCCGTTTGAAATGCACAGCTTTCAGCATAGTCGTAAATTCATGCTGCAGCCTTATAAAGGAACTCTGCACTTCAGCCAGCCACCCACCTCACCCCACCCCACCCCATCCCACCCCGACCCTGGGCAACCAATAAGCAACTCTGTTCCTCCCTGGGTTTCCCTGTTCTGGACATTCCATGTAAATGTGCGAATGTAAATTCACAGCCTGTAGTCTCCTGTAACTGACTTCTTATACTGAACGTGCCGTTCCAGCTACACCCCTGCCACAGCAGGTGTCTGTGCGTCCTGCTTTTTTTTTAGGACTCTAGTAATTTTACTTTAACATAAGTTTTTAGTGTTTCATCCTTTTTTGTGGCTGAATCATATTCAGTTGTATGCACACACCACATCCTGTTTATCTGTTCATTAGCTGATGGTTGCTTTTGCTTTTTGACACTGTCCCTGTTCTTTTGGGCCGGGCGGCACCTGGTGGCCCTCACAACTGGCCCAGCCTGCTGTCCAGCCTGCTGTGATCTGGAACCAGTCAGGTCAACATCAAACAGGAGGCAGCATGCAAATCCATGGTCGAGCCTCATGCAGGAGGAAGCAAGCAGATGTATCCATGCTGCCTACTCTCCTAAACCACAGGAGGCCTTTGGAGGGGCTTGGTTTCCCAGGGCAGGTCGCAGGTGGGGATTGCTCCCAATTCCAGATGGGCCTGGGCCTGATCAGATGTGAGCAGAGGCAGCACCTGTGTGAAGGGGCAGCTGGCCTAGAGGCAGAGCCGCAGGGAGCCGGCTGCTACCACCCATGGCCCTGTAGGGTAGAGAAGGTACCTTCCAGGCAGCAGCAGAGTGAACGGGCAGTCTGGCCTTGGCCCTGTTCAGCAGTCGTGTCCAGGTGAGAGGCCCCCAGTACTCACCCGCTGTCTTTTAAACACCCTAGATGAGGACGGGGACCTGGTTGCTTTCTCCAGTGATGAGGAACTGACGATGGCAATGGCCTATGTGAAGGATGACATTTTCCGCATTTACATTAAAGGTAAAGGGCTATCCTGGGGTTCTGCTGACCAGTAAAACTGGCAGGCTTGAGGTTATGGGGAAACCCTGCCGGCAGGGAGGAGGCACTGAGGGCCACGTGGACAGTGGCAGGATCATTTCTGGGCTTGGCTCGAGAGCAGTCCATGCCCAACACGGCCGGTGGGGCAGAGGGTCTCTGGGTTCCCTTTTGATTGTGTTCAGACCAAGTGCATGGGCTTGGGGGCAGCTTTGGGGGGGTGTCTTGGGGTTCATTTTATTTACTTAAGATGTTATTTATTTTTACAGAGAAGGGAAAGTAGGGAGAAAGAGGGAGAGAAATGTCAATCAGTTGCCTTTTGCACGCCCCAAACCAGGGACTGACCCCACAACCCAGACATGCGACCTGAATGCTCAGTCCACCGGGCCCTGCCTGGCAGGGCCATGGAGCTCCCTCGAATGCAGGGCGAGACCAAAGCTGTGTAGACAGCTCCCTGCTGCTTCTCTCCTCCTGGGCCCTGCATACCCAGGTCATGCGTAGGGCTAGGAACCTTCCGGCAGGCTCTCAGGCTGCTTCATTGCTGTCACTTGAACAGCCAAAGTCCACATGGACTCAGGATCTGGAGAGCGGGACCAGGGGCCTTGTGACAGTGGTGACAGTCCCGCAGCAGTGACAAGGGGGAGACTTTGTGGGACCCCACCTCGTGTCTCTCCCACAGAGAGGAAGGAGTGTCGGCGGGACCACCGCCCGCCATGTGCGCAGGAGGCGCCCCGAAGCATGGTGCACCCCAACGTGATATGCGATGGTTGCAATGGCCCGGTGGTGGGGACCCGGTACAAGTGCAGTGTCTGCCCTGACTACGACCTGTGTGCCAGCTGCGAGGGGAAGGGCATGCACCGAGAGCACAGCAAGCTTGCCTTCCCCAGCCCCATGGGGTTTCTCTCTGAGGTGACTAGGCCTCCCCGCTGGCTGGGGTGGGTGTGGGTGGTAGGAGCCCCCTGACCCAGCACCACCTGCCTCTGCCTTCTTCTCCCTAGGGCTTCTCTCATAGCCGCTGGCTCCGGAAGCTGAAGCACGGGCACTTTGGATGGCCCGGCTGGGAAATGGGACTCCCTGGGAACTGGAGCCCTCGGCCTCCTCGGGCAGGGGAAGCCAGCTGCGGCCCCACAGCAGACTCTGGTGAGCCTGGGTCTGCTGGCTTCCTCAGGGCCTGGGGGGAGGGCCGCGGAGCTGGAGGGCCTTCCCCAAATGGAAATCCCGCTGTGCCCAGGCTGCGCTGGGTGCTTCTCCGCCTTTCAGGTTATTTAACCCTCACCAAACCCTGCAGAAAGGGGTGCTGTCTTTGTCTTACAAAGGGCACATGTGCCTAAGTGCCCAAGGCTGCTAATTCGCCTGCACTAGATCTAGGCTTGGCCCCAGCACCTGCGTCTCTGTTGTGGTAGCTGTTTGGAAAGTCAAGGCCAGGTTAGGTCAGGTCTTTAAAACCACAGTCACAAAGTTTAGAACTACACATAGTTCACTTTCTAGATTTTTGGATTCTGGGTTCATTACTCCTAGTGTGTCCTTTGATTCTCCTCATCCTTTGGGACACAGGTGGGGATATTTCTTTGATTTTAAGAGAATAATGTATCTAGGAAGTAGCCGACATTTTATACTGTGTGTACGGTGGCCCTTGCGGGGTTCTGATCACTGGGGTTCACAGGTGAAAGAGGGATGAGTAGGCCCAGGAGTTGGCCTGGAGTGGGAGGGAGAGGAAAGCACTGGGGCGTGGCTGCCAGGAAAGGCCCCCAGGATGGGAGGGCACGAGGGGTGAAGGTCATGGCAATGCAACAGGTATCAAGGTCATTGAGAAATGTGCTCTGAGTTAAACATCATTGTTTTTTGTTTTTTAATTCGAAGCTCCAGGTCCATCAGAGGATCCCAGTGTGAACTTCCTCAAGAACGTGGGGGAAAGTGTGGCAGCTGCCCTCAGCCCCCTGGGTAAGTGCCTTCCTGTCTGTCCTCTGAGGCCAGCGAGGCCGCTTGGTAACTCGGGGTATGAGTGGCTGCTGGTGGCTTTCCCCCAACAAGCTCAGAGGAATGGGGACGCCTTTGAGGCGGGATTCCCCGACGGACTTGCCACACGCGTGCAAAAAGCGAGCCAACCTTCAGCTGGAATGGCCCCAGGAGGGCGCTGGCCTGTCAGCTTCTGCGGTCTGGTCTCTGGGGGAAGAATGGTGCATTTTCCGCTCCTAAGAGTGGGCAGTTAGTTGGAATGCCTTTTCCTTTCCCCTGCCTCTTTTTTGCAGTCCTCAGCCTGTCCTTGGGCAGAGTGCCCAACGAGTGCCAGAGCCAGGGAGCCCGGAGTGGTGGGGGAGGGGGCCCTGAGTGACGCCCTGTTGCTAGTGCTCAGGTTCAGAGGTCTCAGGGCATGTGACCTGCGGCAGGTGTAACAGGCATGACCTGAGGCTTTTGAAAGCCCCCACTGTGCCTGTTGGTCTGGGTGCGGGTGCTCAGTTGGGGGGGGTTGTGTGGTCCTGAGAATCAGTTTAAAAAGGTGACCTCTGGCCCTGGATGGTGTAGCTCAGCGGATTGAGCGCGGGCCTGCGAACCATGCGATCGCGGTTCGATTCCCAGTCAGGGCACATGCCTGGGTTGCAGGCCAGTTCCCAGTGGGGGACACATGAGAGGCAACCACACACTGATGTTTCTCTCTCTCTCTTTCTCCTTTCCTTCCCCTCTCTCTGAAAATAAATAAATAAAATATTTAAAAAAAAAAAAAAAAAAAGGTGACCTCTGGCTATAGACCACCACAGACCTGTGACCTCAGACTTGAAGGGACTCATCTTGTGGTGGCAGTGGCAGGTGGTGTCCGGGTAGTCTGTCTGAAAGCCGCTGCCAGGAGGGCACCTGCACCATGCCCGTGTTCCGCCCCACAGCTGGTGTGCATTGAGCAGCGGTGGCATCTTGGCATTGCTCCTCCATGAAACAGCTCAGACCACCCGTGGGTTCTTTTTTTATTTTTAAAGATTTCTTTATTTATATTTCTTACTACTTTTTAAAGATTTTATTTACTTTTAGATAAAGGGAGAGGGAAGGAGAAAGAGGGCGAGAAACATCATGTGGTTGCCTCTCACGTACCCCCTACTGGGAACCTGGCCTGCAACCCAGGCATGTGCCCTGACTGGGAATTGAACTGGCAACTCTTTGGTTTGCAGGCTGGTGCTCAATTCACTGAGCCACACCAGCCAGGGCCACCCACAGTTTCTATATTAGAGTTGTAAGGCTTTTGAGAGAATGAGAAAAAACGAGTGATATTCTTAATGCTCTCCAAGGAGCATAAAACAATGGTCAGGTAATAATCGGGGGATGAGCTGTGTTATACTCTGTCTGCCACCCGTGTAAGACACAGTGAAGGTGAGTGAGTGGGACTTTGAGAGCTAGTCCTCTACCAAGGGGGCCGTGGCTAAGGGCCATGCGAACTGCCCTGTGGGAGACAGCAAGTCGACAGTGGTTCTCACGCTGGCCCGGCATCAGAATCAACAACCACGGCTGTTTTTTAGAGGCAGAGAGACACACCCAGGCTGATTTGTTGTTCCACGTACTCTTGCCTTCATTGGTTGACTCCTGTCTGTGCCCTTGACCCAGGGGCTGAGCCCTTGATCCTGGTGTCTGGGGAAGGCGCCCCCTCTACCCCCCCTCCCCCGACTGAGCACCAGCCGGAGTCTAGGCTGTTCTTTGTTTTTAAATCTGTATCTAAGTGAAGGGAGACTCTCTTAAGTGACTCACTCTGAAGGGCAGCCCTTCACTGAAAGAATGAGCCCGACTGGGCAGTCCTGAAAGCAGGTCTGGGTTCAGGGAGGGAACACGACAACAGTGCAGGTGCCCCGTCTGCCTTCTGGGTGCTGGTGCGTGGGTCTTGGGGAGGGCCTGGGAGCTGTGTTCTGAAGGCGTCCCAGGTGGCTCCGGGTTCCACTTGCTGTCCATCCTGACACCATCTGAGCTTATGGTGGGTTTCAGAACCTGACCAGGCTTCCCCACTCAGGACACGTGGGCAGCATTTTGGAAGTGCCCAGAGGGCTTTTGGGGGAAGGATAAAGGCCTGTCCCGATCTTTCAAAGTGGGTGGGGTTGCTTTCTGCCAACTAGGGAGGAGCTTACAAAAGGAGGAAAATTTGAGGAAAACATGCCTTTGAGTAGCTTCAGCTGAGAGAGGAAGTGATCATATTCTGCCGTTGGAGTTGCGGGTGTTTTCTCACAAGGAACTAATGTGAGGGCGATCCGAGTTAGTGTTTACACATGTGGTTTTCGCCTCGGTCGGGTCCTACACAGCATGGCGCTGCCTGTGGTCCTCAGCCCCCAGATGGGGGCGTTCTGGCCACACGAGGTATTCAGCGGTTGGTTCCTAGGGCCAGGCCTCTTTCTGGACCTACTGGCTCTGAGATTGACCTGGGGTGTCAGCTGCGATTAATGTAAAAGCTGGAAGAAGAGAGAGGTGCAGTAAGAGTTTTTCTAGCTCTTAGCTTCTACTAAGATGATTTGGGGCCAGGATTTTGGGAGTTTAGCCCTTAGGATCCTGAAGGTCACAGAGGACCATCCATCCACCTGCCTTCTGGCTGGCAGGCTCCATCCTGGCCCCATGTGTGGTGCTGCGACCCTGAGTAGTAGACGCCAGCATCCCCACCCTGCACACTTAGGGGCTGGCGGGCAAGTGCTCGGTAAGTGGGCAGGGTCGCCCCCTAAGGACTGTGGGTTCTTGTTTCCTCCTTGGCTTCTAGGCATCGAGGTGGATATTGACGTGGAACATGGAGGGAAGAGAAGCCGCCTCGCACCTGCGTCTGCCGGCAGCACCAGTGCAGAGGGCAGGCACGGCTCTCCTGGCCCCAGCACATCAGATGGGGTCGTGGAGGGGCCCGTGCGGTCTCTGGCCGAGCAAATGGACAAGATAGCCCTGCAGCCCGGCACACAGCCTGAGGCAAGCCCTCCCCTCACTGAGTCTTTTAGCGCCCCGCCAGCGGCCCTGCCTGCACTTGTGTAGCCTGCTGGGGCAGGGTCCTAGCCCAGAGGGGAGTCTGGCATTTGTCACTCTGTGGCCCCTCCGGCTGCATGCCAGCCAGTATGGGCTCTCCCAGGGGTGGAGGCTGGGTTGGGGGGGGGGTGCTGGGCACTCATGGGCTTTGTTCCAGGAGCAGATGGAGTCGGATAACTGCTCAGGAGGAGATGACGACTGGACCCACTTGTCTTCTAAAGAGGTGGACCCATCCACAGGGGAACTCCAGTCCCTGCAGATGCCTGGCTCGGAGGGGCCTGGCTCTCTGGACCCTTCCCAGGAAGGACCCACGGGGCTGAAGGAGGCAGCCGTGTACCCACACCTGCCGCCAGGCAAGTGATTCCAAGCAATTATGGTGTTCTTCATGGTGGGGCTTGTCTGCTGACGTGAGAGGGAATTAAGAGTTGGTTTTGTCCTTGTGTATGTATGCTGAGCCCTTGTAAGCACAGATGGTTTTAATGATTTCTACAGCTAAACCAGCAGTTCTGAAGGCAGATGGGACGTGGTGGCGGCACTGGCTTTGGCACTCTGGTCCACTGTCACTATTTCCTCGTGGAGAGTGCTGACCTGACAGGGCCCAGCCGAGGCTCCTGGGGGAGCCTGCAGGAAGCCACCCTGGGGAGCAGGTGGTGTGGGAGGCAACAGGGCTGGGTGGGGACTGTGGCAGCCAGAGAGCATGCACTGAATAGAAGAGGCAGCAGGTCTTCTGCTGAGTTTGTTGCTGTCACCTCACAATGTTGTTGAAGACTGTATTGAACAGAGAACCCATCTGTGGCCAAATATGGCCCTTGGGACCCCAGTGTCTCTCTTTGCCTCAGAGCACAGAAGACCAAGGACAGCCAATAGCTGAGAACCATTTTCATACTGTTATAATGGCTGTCTAAAAAGTTAAGGCCTGTGACAACAGATGAAATCCAAATATCAGTGTTAACAAATACACTTTTTTGGGGGAATACAGCTGATTTGCCTATGTGTTGTCTGGCTGCTTTTATGATGTCACAGCAGAACGGAGTGGCTGTGACAGACTGATAGCCTGCAAAGCAGTTTAAAATCTTTATTCCCTGGCCTTTTGCAGAGAAAGCTGGCCAGGCCTTGCAGGCGCCAGGTACTTGCTAGCTGGATGGGATGTGCTGCCTGCGGGTTGCACTTGGGCTCAGCAACCCCTGCTCATGGCTTTCATTTCTCTCTCTGGCAGAAGCTGACCCCCGGCTCATTGAGTCGCTCTCCCAGATGCTGTCCATGGGCTTCTCTGACGAGGGCGGCTGGCTCACCAGGCTCCTGCAGACCAAGAATTATGACATTGGGGCTGCCCTGGACACCATCCAGTATTCGAAGCACCCACCGCCCTTGTGACACTCTGTGCCTACCTGTTACCCGTCCCCTTTCTGGTCATATTTGTGTTGAGTGTAGAACCCAGGCCTCAGCAAGGGCCAGTGTCTCTTCTTTCAGAGTCGGGGGCGGGGCTGCATGAAGCCTTGTAGGGCAGTAGGACAAGCGTCATGAGGAGGGAGTTCCAAATGTGCTGATATCCGAAGAGCATTTTCCAGGGTGCCCTGGGGCAGAGCAGGGCTCCTCCGCCTCCTGCAGCTGCTCTCCACCAGCCCGAGTCACCAGCCGTGTAGAGCGCCTCTTGCCTGATGGCCCTTCTGCTTTTTTAAAACGACTGACAGTTCGCTGACCCGTAGCTGATTTTCTGCTGGAAACCTGACCTGCTCCAGGTTCACCGGAACACAGCCACCCTCCTGTCAGGAAGGCGGCTGTCCTGGTGCGAATCCTGTGGGGAGGATGGCCCGGGACCAGCTTCATGTCCGGGAACAGGAAGGGCTGACGGGAACCGATGGTGGTCGCAATTCTCTCCCAAGTGTGTCACCTGCTTTTAAAGGAAGAATATCCCTTTGTAGCCATTCTGTTAGCATATTTGTAATCCACCTGTAATTAAATGGTATAAGCACTTTACTCAAAGATGTTGCAATGAGCAATGATCTGTTTGAAAGGCCTGTTTATTGTTGGTTCTCAGCAGTTGCCATAAATCCTCAAGTCCCAGTCACTAGAGGCAGCGATGCAGACAGGTCTTGCTGGGGGAAGGCTCGTGTAGCAGACACACCCAGGTAGTAACACACCAGTTGGTTCACAGGATGTCGTCAAAGTCTTCCCCAGTGTTAAAGAGATCATGCAGCCGTACAAGTTGGGACTCCTGTGCCCCTCTGGCCAAGGGTCTACCCTCTGCTTGAGGGCCTGTATCCCACAGCTGCTCAGTGGTCACCCCAAAGGGCCTCTTGGGCCCACGTGGAGCATGTGTGGCCCAAGGGAGCTGGAGTGCACTGGTGGTCCTGGGTTCCTGTCCGTTGTTCGAGGGCTGGGGGGCCTCCTGCCCGGCCTGTGCTGCTCCAGCTAGCACAGGGTCGCTCTGCAGCGGTGTCCAGGGCTCTGTGTCCGCCTGTGTGCTGTGCCCAGGTGGCGGAAGGAACTGTGCCCATTTAGAAGGTGTGGCCCTCACCTGCTGGGCAGCACACTGTGGCGCCCTCCCAGGCCCAGGGCTCCCCCTAGCATCCCAGTCCTCATGACTGCTCCCCCTGGCCTTCCTGGCCAGGCCGGTGTGACCCTGCAGTGGAGATAAAAAGCACATGGTCATGTCCTTGGTTCAGACACTAGTGGTCAGGCAGTACCAGTTGCTGCCCCCTTGTCTCTCCCTCTGGACACTGGCTTCCCTTTCCCCATGCTTTCCACCAGCTAGTCCTCAGGTTGCAGGCCAGGAACCTGCTGGGGTTCTGAAAGTTCACCCAGTGGGGAGAGTAGGTGCCCCTAACCTCGCTCCAAACCCTCTGCCAAAGCCCAGGTCTAGGCTCTCCCCAGAGGGAAGGTATGAAGTGACCAGTCATCTGGTAGGGATGTCAGACTCAGGTCAGGGAGGGCCAGAGAGAGCTGAGCTGGTGGAGACCTAGAGGCCTTTGGCAAAGGGGTGCAGGCCCCTTCCCGCCTGCCTGCTCACTGCCAGGCTGGCAGGGAGGTCCAGGACCACACTTAGGCCTGACCTGGGGAGGTGGCCCCCATGGCATGGCCGTGGTGCTTGGGCCTGGCCGCTCCGACCCCAGGAACCAGAAGCACTGGAAATGGCATCATTTGAAAGCAATGGTGGGTAGGACCCTGCCTCACCAGCACCAAGCAGCCTGCAGGGGGTGCTGGTCTGCAGTGCTGACTTAGCTCTGCCTTCACCAAGCCTTTGCTGCCCTTGTTCCTCACCTTCCAGACAAAACAGGCTCATGGTAAGCACGGAACCCACACAGCTGGGGGGCTGAGCCCAGGGACTAGCACCTTGTGAACCGTCATTAATGTTATTCTCTAATTTGGAGGGTCAGGGCCACATCCTTATCTGCGTCGCACAGCCAGTGAGCGGCAGCACCAAAGTCCGGCCTCTGCCTCTCAGCTTGGAGCAGGCCAGGCCGGCCTTGGTCTGTGTGTGTGTGTGTGTGGGGGGGTGTCTGCCGAGGCACCTGGGGCTCTTCTGACCGTGCAGGGCAAAGCCTGCATTGGGCCCTGAGAGAGCGGCAGGGTCTGCTAGGGTTGAGGCATCAAGAACACAGCCAGGTCCTGGGCAAAGAGGGTGCCTCTATGCACAAGACACACCTGTGTCCATGAAGCTAAGGTGGACATGGTGCCTCAGAGACCAGGGTGGGGCCCATGTGACACGCAGAGGGACCCGTCCCAGCTCCAAAAAGCCCTACCACAGTTGCCTCCAAGGTATCCAAAGGCCGTCTGACCAGGTGACGGTGAGAGGCTGCAGCAGGGCGCAGCTGCTGCCGGAGAGAGGAGAAAGGAGTGGGCTTCAGACAGACAAAGGGTGGGGGTGGGGGGGAGCTGCACTTGTCCGGGCCAGTAAGTCTCCCACTTCAGCTGTCCACAAAACACGACAACTAAAAGGTTCTGTGGGCACTCAGCAGTCAGGGGGACCAGAAGAGAAATACTGTCCTCAATCACTGACCTTCTGTGTCTCCGAGGTGACCTCAGGGTCCCCCACATCCTGGCCGGTAGGGCTGTGTGGAGGCTGGACCGCACTCTGGCTCCACCTCCTGGCAGAGGGGAAGTGCTGTCAGAACCCAGTCCCATCACCACGGAGCCCCCTGCTCAGCTGTGCCACGGGCTGGGGCCCCAGCCCAGCTCCCACCCCCTGCCAGGAACTGCCGTCCTGGAACATCCAAGGCAGTCAGTCCATTTCTCTGCTCCTGGCTGAGTCGCTAGAAAGTTCTTATTTGAACCAAAATGACCTCCCAATACGCCTGCCCTGTAACGGCCACCTGGATCCAGGTGAGGCTGAACCTCAGAAAGCTCACTGCACCTGGAGAAGAAACCTGTACAAGTCGTATCTTTCCTGCTCTCTGCCAAAAGCTTCCAGAGCTGTTGGCTACTCTGGCCTCACTTTGCTTCCTCAACCCTGCCCATAAAATAAACTCTTCCCTGAGGTCAGTGCAGTCCAGATACTCAGAATTCAGGGAGTCTGGGGACGCTGCCCACGTGGTACCCAGCCCGGCCTTTGCTGTGCACCAGCAGTGCCAGGTGCCCGACCTGGCCAAGTAGGGCCGGGCAGCGATGAGCCGGCCAGCTGGCGAAGTCGGCCTCCACCAGCCGCTCCTCAGCCCACATCCTGGGGCTTGGTGGGCACGCGCCACTTGAAGAATCACCTTGTTCTAGAGGGAGCATCCGGCTTCCCTGCTGTGGATGAGGACCAGCTGCTGAACTGCAGGGCTCCGGGCAGCCCCTGCTCTCCGGAGCCCCTTTCCAGGTACTTCCACCAGCGGTTCCTGGACGGCTGGGGTTCCTCCTGACGGATGAGGAAGTGGATTTACTCTCCCAGCTGGAGAGCAGGCACTGCCCCTGCAGGTCTTCAGATCCAAGGCCTGCAGATTTTGGGGCCCTGCCTCCAGGGGAGGCCAGTGGCAGGGCGCAGCGCTCCACAGCCCACGGGCCTGTACGTATCAACAGTGCCACCCTGCCCCCCCCCCCCACGCTCCTACACCACCACCCAGCCACGCTGTGCGAGCACCTCCATGACTAGGCACTTGGGCAGAACAGGGCGTGAGCCCTGCTGTCAGGCTCTGCCAGAGAGAGGAAACACGGAGACTAGAGGTCTTCACAACCGCATCCCTCCACCAGGGGGCACCCCTCCACCAGGGGGTGCCTAGGGCATGGAGGGGAGGGAGGAAGCAGGCTGAGGTGAGGTTCATGCTAGGTTTAGAGTTCTCCAAACAGAGAGCACCAGAGTTGTGTGCACACACAGTGGCCTCCACCCTTCCAGAAGGGACAGGTCTGTCCATTCGTGCTCCTTGGAGCTTCAAGCCAAGTGCCTGCCATTCGGTAGCATCAGCAGGCCTTTACTGAACAAATGACTGAGAATGACTAAATGGAGCCCTGGGGCCAGAGCCTGCCCAGGGGGCTGGGCTGACAGCGCTGCTAACTCACCTGCGCACTCACGAGCTCTGCCGGCCCAGGACCTGCATTTCTCTCTCTGCCAGCACTAGTAGGCTCTTCTGGAGACCTTCGGGAAAGATTGCACATGCCCTTTGTAAAATGATCAGGAGGCTGAAGGCCAGGAGGAGGAGGAAGCAGAATACAGGGACTAGCCGAGGACTACCAAAGACTTCTCGGGGAGCTCCCTGCCTCAGCTCTGCAGGCCTGCTGTGGCGAGGTGATCTCCTGGCCATTCAGAGGCCCTACTGCAAGCCCCGTTTCTCCCTGGACTCGGGCTGGCTGGACCCCCAACAGCAGGAAGAGATGCAGGTGCGGGGGGCAGATGCTTCACCCAGAGAGAATGCAGCTTGGATCCTGACTTTGCCAACAACTGGCTGTCACCGTGACAGTGTGACTTTGGGTTCTATGCCATTTGCTTATGCACAGATAGGGACAGGCCTGTGTGGATGGTTGGGGGGTAGTAAACGAGGTGTGTGCTCATGGGACAACATGCCTGCCTGGGCCTGGACACAGGGACTAACGTCCTCTGGACCCCTGCAGTGCGAGAGTCCTCCCATCAGCAGGGGACAGGTCCCCATTGCACAGGCCACATGGGAGCCTTCACAGTTATGTTGTGCCTCCACCACTACGAGAGGAGAGGCATGTTCCTGAGCTTGACGTGTCACAGTGAAGGCCTCAGGGACAGTGGGGCTCTCCTGCCCCGTGAAGAAGAGTGAGGGGCCTGGACACCCAGTGGCAAGGTGCAGCGCAAAGGCCGGAGGTGAGAGCCAAAGCCACCCCCAGCCGTGCCAGACGGGGCTGTTACGTCACATGATCCAACTGGAACCCCCTCCAGTGAACTCTGAGAACCCCAAACTCCCCAAACTCTGGTAAATGTGGGCACCTCGAGTTCTGTTTGTTCGTCTGTGAGAAGAAGTCAGTGACCCTCCCAGGGCAGTTACAAAGAAGTGAGACCAGGCACAGCAAACCCTGCCCCGCACACGGGCGCCCCGCAGCGCTGTGGGGCTGTGGCCCTGTGGCTGTTACCCAGAACCCCACTCTCAGCGTCTGGGAGCTCCACTCGGTCTTCCTGCTTCTGATGGAAGAAGAAGGTGCACAAACACCCAAGAACTGGGGTGTTTGTTGTCCCATTAGAGGTGACCTTGCTTCTCTCCGGCTGCTTTCCAGCTCTTGCTTGTGCCTTCTGTGTTCTCCGGTTTCACTGTGTCGCATCTAAGGGCAGATGGTCTGAACTTTCAAAGTCACCGTATGAATGGTGGTGGCAGGGGGCATGGGGGATAAATATTGATTGAAAAAATAAAAATAAACTCACCTTACTGAGGTATAATTAAATATAAGGTCAGTCTGGTAAAAGTCCACTACTGTTAACATAAGGGGAATGGTCTGTGACACATCCATGTCACCCGGCAGCCACGGCGAGTGGACTGGAATGCGCATGTGTGAACAATGACGCCTTCACTGCACTAGTCCGTGGGGGTGGTAGACACAGCTGAATGCGCGTGTGCACTGTGTGGCCATCAGATTCAAAATGCCTAAGCGAGTAGAGCAATGAATCTGCATCACATTTTGCGTTAAACTTGAACATCCCTCTACAGAAACTATTTGGATGGTACCTTCAGAGGCCGCAGCTGTGGGCAGTTGGTGATTGGCAACTTCATCACGACAACGCACCTGCTCATGCATCACGTCTCGTGCAGAGTGTTTTTGACAAAACATCAAATCACCCAGGTGACTTAGCTCACCTACAGCTCAGACTTGGCCCTGTGACTTCTGGCTTTTCCAAAAACTAAAATCACCTTTGAGAGGGAGGAGATTTCAGACCATCAGTGAGATTCAGGAGAATATGACAGGGCAGCTGATGGCGATTGGGAGACCTGTGTGAGGTCCCAAGGTGCCTACTCTGAAGGGGACCGAGGCATCACTGTGCTATGCACAATGTTTCCAGTATCTTCTTCAATAAATAGATTTTTCATATTACATGGCTGCATACCTTCTGGACAGACCTGGTATACTGAAATACAGACATTTATGTATATAGTTAATACATACTGATAAATTATACCTTTGAAACTATCATCCCAATCAAGATATAGGGAAAAATTTTTATTAAGGTATAATGGACAAGACATAGAAAATCTCATCACCCCCAAATTTGGAATCCCCCCTCCCCAGAACACGGCTGACCCTGTGCCTCATGGTCTTGTCTGGCTTCTCTCTCTCCTCTTCTCTTCGAGTTCTTGCTGCCGAGTAGTGTCCCAGCAAAGAGCGTGCCGCGGTGTGTTTGCTTGCTCACCAGCTGACGTCTCGGTGCCCCGACCCGTCGCCAGCATCACCCTATGGGATGACTGCCGCGTCAGAGTAAGTCTCAAAACCGGGCCATGGAGGTCCTCCAACTCGGTTCTTTTTACGTTTGTCTCAGCAATTCTAGGTCTTTCACATTTGTATATGAATTTTAGGATCAGTTTGTCAATTTCTGGAACCCCAGGCTGCTGGAATCCCGACTGGGACCGGGTTGGCTCCTAGACCTGTCCAGGACGAGTTGTCACCTGGACGACACTGCGTCCCCCGGCCCCTGATCGTGTCCTCTCTCCTCACCAATCCATTCCCACCTTCTTTATTTCTCATTGCGATCTGTTGCTGTTTTTACTGAACCAATCTTACACAAGCTCAGTATATTTATACCTAAGAATTTTGTTTTTGATGGTATTGTTAATAATCCTTGATTTAAGCAATCATTTTCCAATGGTTTCCTGCATTTATGTAAACATAAAATTTAATGTACAGTATGTTGATATGGTGTCCTTGTGATCTCGCTAAACTAACTTACTAGCTCTAGTCACTTCTTGTAGGTTCATTAGGATTTCTTACATTCATGGTGTCTTTGTCCAGTTTGAGATTTGCTCTGTTTCCTGAATTGAAGAATGTAAATTTTTGATTCTGGAAAATGCTCTACTCTTTCTCTGCAAATATTGCCTTTGCCGATTCTTTTTATTCTTGTTGGGTCTCTTCTTTATACCTGCCATGTCTCTCAACTCCTATTTTCCACCTTATTGTCTATCTGGGCTGCACTGTAATTTCTTCAGGCTCATCCATTTCACCAATCCGGTCCTCCGCTGCACCGAACCCATTTAGCCTGTCTACTACAGTTTTATTCGCAATGAGTGTTCTTTGCATTTCTACACTCCTTTTGGTTCTTTTTCCAGAACTACTCTATTATTTCTTAAAGGCTCTTGCTCCTATTGCCAACCTTCTTATTTCATGAACTAATGAACACACAATATTATGATTCCGAGGTCTTTGTGGGCCTGCCTTTCTAGCCTGTCCATCTGCAGTTTTGCTCACGGGGTGTGATTCCCTAAGTGTCTCACTGTTAACTCTGAGTGCTCACTCCTCAGAACTCCATCTGCAGGGATGCTCTCCGGCCTGGGCTGACGATGCTGCTTCAGAGAGGTGCGGCGCTGACCTCTGCTTCCTGGGACTGTCTGGAAATAAATTCTCAGCTTAAAGCTTTCACATGGTGCTTAGAATAGGCTGAAAAGATATGTGGCAGCTCCTTTGTGCGTATAAAATCCCGGACCAGTATTTCCCCTCTTTAGCCAACGCCAAGGACACCGAGGCTGCCTCCCTGCGGCAGAAGAAATGCATTTCCTGGGGGACTCGGCTTTCTGTGGCGCCTCCTGCTGACCTTCTGCCTGAGTGAGCACTAGGCTTTGCTGTCCCCATTCCTGCCCACCTCCTGCAGGGACACTCCCAGCTCCACTGCCCTCACAGCCCACGCGCGTATTCCCTGGAACATGCCTTTTGCTTCGTCTTCGACCCCTGGTAGTGATTTATTTCCTTGTCACCTTGTCAGTGCATTTAACGCAGCATAGCTGGCATTTTAAATGATTTTCTAGCGGATGCCAGCACAGCAGGCCGTCCATCCGGGAGATACCTGGTCTCCACAGCTCGCTTACTCTAGGTGGGAAGATCACCCAGGGCGTCTACTCGCCGCACAGAAAGAGCTGGACCTCTGGGACAGGGGTCCCCAACCCTCACCACAGACCCACAAGATCATGCAGCTCACTGGAGGGGGGCCGCTGCAGGGGCTCCTCCCCCGGGGGGGGGTCCCCAGCCACTGGAGAGAAGCACGACAGCGCACCCCTCACAACCGCTGTACCTGTGTGGCGTCTCCAAGAGCTGGGCCTGCAGCAGATTCAATTTTTGGACGTGGCGTCTACAGTCAGCACCAGAGCCCTCACCATAAGCCTGAGAAACAAACACACAAATAACTACGTTTAAAAAGTGCTAACAGGATGCTGAGATGCACCTGTACTTCCCAAGGCCCTGGGCGCCTGCAGCACCTCGCAGGGATCAGTGACTGACAGCTGCTTGCGGAGTGACTCACACGCCAGCAGTCTGGGTTGATGAGGGCTGTCGGTCCATCTGGCTGCTGGCTGGACCCCCACCTCTACACATCAAAGCCAAACTCAGTCCCAAACCCCACCCCAAATGATTAGTGAACATAAGAAATTCAGGAGCCATACAAATTGCTACTACACATATGAAATAGTCTCTGATAACCAAAGGAATACCAATTAAAATGCTACTTTTCCCCCCATGGAGCTGTTACTCATGTGTTCAACAAATGTTTATTGAGCACCTACTATGGTCAGCAACATGGATGGACCTGGAGGGCATTATGCTCAGTGAAATGGGCCAAGACAGAGACAAACGTATAGAACTTAGTTTTTACATGGAACCTAGAAAACACAATAAATGAACACGCAGAACAGAAACAAACCCACACATACAGAGAACAGATGGGTGGCCATCGGAGGAGGCACAGGGGCGGAGAGGGCAGGCGGGCAGTGGGGGACAGTCACTGGCGGGAAGTGCAGCCCAGGGCATGTGGTCGGCAGTACTGTGATGGCAATGGGTGGCGCCGAGCGGGGACTAGACTCCTCTGGGGGACCGTTTATGTCTGACCATTATGTTATACACCTGATATTAATATCAATGTCATTATTCAATGTCAACTGTAATTAAAAAAATAAATTTATCAAAAAGAGATGGGGATGGCTGGGGGAAAAGCAGGTGTGAAGTGAGGCTGGGAAGTGCGGGGATGGGAAACCGGGAGAGAAACACAGCCAGGGGACAGGAGTCCAGTGACAGGGTCTGAGTACAGGTCCTGAGGATGAGGAGGCAACAAGGTGTGACAGAGGCCACTGAGAGTGTGGTCAGCGGAGCACTGAGTGTGCCCCGTTCTTCGCAGCATGGAGATCGGAGAGCGCAGATGACAAGGGCAGCGGTGTGACGGCCCGGGGGGACCGAGCTCCCTTTGTGGGCAAGCTCAGATGAGAATAAAAGGGGAAGAGCTAGAGGGGACAGAAAGCTAAAAAGGGACTGGAATCCACAGGTGGCCTCACCAGCAGGATGTGTTCCTGCTCCTGCGTGGCAGGGGCCCCTGGCTCAGCACTGAGATGCTTCCCCATCTGGGCACAAACGAGGCTCCATTTCCAGTCTTCCCTGTGGTGGGGTGCGGCCGTGACACTAGGTTCTCCCCAGGGGAGTGTGCGCCACCCTCAGGCCTGGCCCCTGAACGCCTCCCGGGGGCTCCTCCTTGATGCTGTCAGCCTCAGGACAATAGGAGCCCAGGTCCCTGGAGGGCCACACCATGGACTGGACCCTGCTGACTGCAGTCCCTCCCAGGCCTGTTCTAAGAGCAAGAGAAACAGCTGCTGCCATGTCTCACCCTGCCAGTGTTGGTGTCCACCTCTCGCTGCAGCCCGGGCAACCCCGAGTCACGCCCCATTGCACGTACACATAGGTGCTGAGCAGGCAGCGTGGCCCCTGGGGGAGAACTCGGGAATGCAGGCCAACACTTACACAGGCAGCGGCCCCTTGTCCCTGCCGGCTGTGTGCCAGGCTCAGGGAGGCCTGGGCAGCCAGCTGCCCTTGCAGATTGATGGTCTCCACCCCACGAATCCCTGGCTGCTTGGCCTGGAGGAGGGCATCTGAGTCCGAAGGGCCAATTGGATCACTTCTGCCAGGAGTTGACCACTGGTCGACTCCTTCCAGAAGGCATGCAGTGGGACCCTGTGGTTTGTGAGTAAAGCCATGAACTGCCTGGGGAGAGAGAGGCAGGAAGAAGGGAGGAAAAGATGGTGCCTGCCGGTCAGCCACTGTGCCCCTCAGTTTAAAAGATATCCTCTGAAACAAAAATTTAACTTCTAGAATTTGTCCTAAGTAAGTAAGTAATTGGCCAAGTGAAGAAAAGAGGGGTTTGTAAGAAGCTCCACTGCAGAGCTGTTCATCACAATAAAAACTAAAATGAACAGAAATGCCCATTGAGGTGAGATTGGTCATTTACTCACTTGACACATATTTACTGAGCACTTTCCACGTGTCGGGCACTGTGCCAGGTACTGAGAGGCGGCCGCTCAGCCACGCCAGCAAGGCCTCTGCTCACGGGGAACCTCCAGTCTGGGATGGACCAGGTTTCCATAAACACACTGTGACATAATTGCTTTCCCCTTTCTTTTAAAAGAAGATTCCATTTATTTATTTGGAAAGAGGGGAAAGGGGGGAGAAAGAGAGAATAAGAAACACGGATGCGAGACACAGTGATCGGCTGCCTCTTTTACACACTCTGTCTGAGAACCAAACCCGCGACCCTGACTGGGAACAGAACTGGTGACCATTCGCGTTGTGGACGATGCCCAACCAACTGGGCATCGTCCATACAGATCCATACAGATCAGGGACACTTCAAAATAACTCCAGATCAGGGTAATGAGAATAGCTGGGTGAACTTGAACAAACTCCAACAATGGGCACGAAGGCCCTGGCAGGGGTGCAGGCCTAGGCTGCTTCCACGTCCAAAGGAAAAGTCCCCACGGCTGAGAGGTGGTGGATGAGGCCGGAACCAGGGAAGGGGGGTCGATAAGGAAAGAAGGAAGGACCGTTAGGGGTGTTAAAGAGATCCCGTGGGTCAGCAGGTGTGGGCCTGCAGAGAATCCTGACGCTAGGTGAAAAAACAGGCCAGGTAAGAGCTCGTAGAACGTGGTCCCTTCAGCCTGCATCCTTGCTCGCTCAGCATCTCTAGACCGCCTCCACAGCCCAAGCGCGCCCCACCCCCGACTCCCACCCCTGCGACCACTGTCAGCTGTCTGCCACTGCCAGCTGGGTCTAATTCTGTCATCTTTTTGGGGGCCCCTGCACTTTCTTTCATTGTGCCCAGTCTAGTCTTATTTATTTATTTTTAAATTTTTATTGATTTTAGAGAGAGAGAAAGGGAGAAGGAGAAAGAGAAAAGCATCAATTCATTGTTACTTGTGGTGCCCATTTACCTATGCATTCATTGGTTAGGTCTTGTATGTGCCCTGACCAGGACCAAACCCACAGCCTCGCCATGGCTGGTGTGGCTCAGTGGATTGAGTGCTGGCTTTCTGACCAAAGGGTCACTGGTTCAATTCCCAGTTAGGGCACATGCCTGGGTTGCAGGCCAGGTCCCCAGTAGGGGGCATGCAAGAGGCAACCACATATTGATGTTTCTCTCCCAGCTCTCTAAAGATAAATAAATAAAATCTTAAAAAAAAAAAAAAACCCAGAGACTTCCGCCAAGATGGAGGCATAGGTGGATGTGCTGTGCCTTCTCACACAACCAAGATTAGAGAAAACTAAATAGTAGCAACAGAAAACAGAACACGGTAGCCAGAACACGGAAAATTGAACTTTTCGGAAGTCCATTAACAACAAATACTTCAGCCTGACCGGTAAGGGGCGAAACCAGCGGCTGGCGGAGCAGGGTTGCACAGGAGGACTTGGCCAGACACACTCAGGCCCGCGGAATCCAGGCGCAGGGTCAGACCTAGTGAGCGACCCAGCGAGCAACTAGGCGAGCGACCGACGGGGAGACAGCCGGGCCCGGGGCTGCTTGTTGACTGAGGTTGCACATTTGTGCGAGGGTGGACAGGCAAGGGAGTGGGCGGTTGGACAGGGCCAGCAGGTCCCCACGGCAAGCGGCAGTGGAGGGCGCCACCATTTCCCTGTTCTGACCCCACCTCCACATACAGCGTCATAACCCAGCGACTCTGAGTGGCCTGGCCCAGGTGAACCACCTAAGGCGCTGCTCCTCCGCACCCAGCTGTGAAAAGCGGCAGAGGGGGTCGCCATTTCCCCGCTCTGGCCACGCCCCCACATACAGCGTCACAACCCAGCGACCTGGGAGTCCAAGGTGCCGCTTCTCACACTTAAAGGGCCCGAACAGACCAAGAATGGCGCAGGAGGATCTCAGAGCCCCAGAGCCAATAAATCTAAGCGATGAAGAAATAGCAAAACTCACAGACGCACAGTTTAAAACATTGGTGATCAGGATCCTCACAGAACTGGTTGATTATACCGACAAATTAGACAAATATATGAAGGCGAAACTAATTGAAATGAATGGAATTGCACAGGACACCAATAGCAATGAAAAGGAAACTGGGACTCAAATCAATGGAGTGGACCAGAAGAAAGCAAATAATGGCCAAATAGAAAAGAGTCAAGAAGCAAGAATTCAAAGAAATGAGGAGAGTCTTAGGAACCTCCAGGACATCTTTAAACGCTCCAACATCCGAATTATAGGGGTACCAGAAGGGGGAAAGGAACAGCCACCAGTGGAAAACTTATTTGAACAAATAATAAAGGAGAATTCCCCCAATCTGGCAAAGGAAATAGACTTCCAGGAAATCCAGGAAGCTCAGAGAGTACCAAAGAAGTTGGACCCAAGAAGGAACACACCAAGGCACATCGTAATTACATTAGCCAAGATTAAAATGAAGGAGAGAATCCTAGAAGCAGCAAGAGCTAAGGGGACAGTCACCTACAAAGGAGTCCCCATCAGACTGTCAGCGGATTTCTCAAAAGAGACCTTACAGGCAAGAAGGGGCTAGAAAGAGGTATTCCAAGTCATGAAATCTAAAGACCTACAACCAAGATTACTCTATCCAGCAAAACTTTCATTTAAAATGGAAGGACAGATAAGGTGCTTCTCAGATAAGATCAAATTCAAGGAGTTCATCATCACCAAGCCCTTATTATATGAAATATTAAAGGGACTTATCTAAGAAAAAGAAGTTAAAGAAACATGAACAGTGAAAGAACAACAAACTCACAGTTATTAACAACCACACCTAAAACAAAAGCAAACTAAAAGGACAGCTAGATCAGGAGTGGAAACATAGAAATGAAGATCTCAAGGAGGGTTAGCAACAGGGGAGTGGGAGGAGGAGAAGGGGGGAGAAGGTACAGAAAATAAGTAGCATAGACAGTAGATAGAAAATAGATGGGGGGGCAAGAATAGCATGGGAAATATAGAATCTAAAGGACTTGAGACACATGGTCATAAACTAAAGGGGGGTGATGGTGGGGATGGGGGGTAGGGTGGAGGGGAATAAAGGGGGAATAGAACAACTGTAACAGCATAATCAATTAAAAATTAAAAAAAACAAAAACAAAAAACCCAAACCCACAGCCTCGATGTATCTCCAAGCCAACTGAGCTACCTGGCTAGGGCCAGCCTAGGTTTTTGTTTTGGCTTTATCCTCACCCAAGAACACATTTATTGATTTTAGAGAGAGGAAAGGAGGGAAACATTGATCCTGAATGTGCCCCAGGGCCAGGCTAAGTCTATACTGTGCGTGCATGTGTTCATTAGTCTCTCTGGCCCTTCCATAGGGGATCTTTGAGGGTGAGAGCGACAACACTGGTACTGAAAGGTGCTCAATAAATACTTGCTGAAGGAATGACTGAACGGTCGAAGGTACCTTTCCAGTTCCTGCTCCATTCATTTCACTTGCTGAAGGAACAGGAGCCTAGGGAGCAGGGGCTCTTTCTGCATCTTGTGGACTTGATCTCAACAGCAAAATGCTGGGACTCTGTGAGCAGCAGACTTCCTCAGCGCTAGGGCCAACCTGCTTCCTGGCACGGGTACTAGATGCCCTGTTTCTTTCTTTCTTTTTTTTTTAAGATTGTATTTAAAAAAATACAATCTTTTTTTAAAATGTATTTTAAAAAATACAATCATTTATTTATTTTTAGAGAGAGGGAAAGGGAAGAATAAAGAAAGGGAGAAAAATATCAATGTGTGGTTGCCTCCCACATGCCCCAACTAGGGACCTGGCTCACAACCCAGGCATGTGCCCTGACCGGGAATTGAACTGGCAACCCCCCAGATTCACAGCCCAGCACTCGGTCTACTAAGCCACACCAGCCAGGGCTGGATGCCCTGTTTTGTAGGACTCACCCGCAAAAATGACTGCTGCTCTCCACAAACTTTGCATGTCCACTTGAGACTCTTTTTCACCTATGATGAAATTTTGGAAATGTGGCTTAGGTATTATTTAAAACAGGTAGAACTGGATCATAAAAATAATTTTAAAAGATCAATGAGAAAAAAAATCAAGAGTCCCCAAACAAACCCACACACGCACAAACCCACGCATAAAAACTCAGCATATTATAAAGGCGGGGAAAGAACAGACTATGAATAAGCGGTGCCGGGAAGGGCAGCTGTCTGCATGAAGCAAACTCCAGTTGGATTGCTACCAGGTATGGTTCACAGAAGGAATTCTGCAACATTTCATTCTGATTCTTGATAAACCTAACTAGGTGGGTTCTCAGCATGATAAAATACCTATACCCAGTTTGAAGCTGAAGAATCACTACCAGCATCCCCACAAAAGCCCTAACGTGCCAAGGACCCCCACTATTATTTACCATTTTTCCCCTGGATGTTTAACAAGTGGAATTTTTTAAGAGAAGGTAATAAAAGGTATAAAGATTGGAAAGGAGAAAAAAGAAAACTATCATAACTTATAGATATGAGGTGTTTTGTTTTTTTACTCGAAAACCCAGGAGAATCCAATAAAAAACTACCAAAGACTGCAAACATCTAGGGAGAACCTATGCATGCCAGCAACAAAGAAAATGGTATCAGCAGGCGCCAAAGCTGCTTGAAGAAACAGAATGCGGTAGCATGTTCAGTATCACAAGAATATCTAGGTTGGTTCATAAAAGTTAGTATGATTAATATGATCCTAATACCAATGTGCCTCGACATTCTAAGGCAGATGAGCAGCATCTAATACAAATTCGAGTGGGTATATCTCATGATTTAGCGATTCTACTCACTTCTTAGCATCTACCTCAAACACCATACAAATACTGTGTAGGCACATACGTAAGTGGGAAATGCATTTAGAAAACAATAAAGTGTCTGGAACAACACACAGTGACTGGGGCGTGGCTAGAGAGAGGCTGCAGGGTGTAACAGAATCTTTGCAGTCGACAGCCAGGGCTCTGCCATGTATTAGAGCCAGGGCTCTGCTATGTATTAGCCGGAGAGACCAAAAGACTGATACCTCCTCAGAGTCTGTTGCAACAGAGCGAGATATGCGAGATTGCCTGGTACACAACAGACTTGAAATTAACCTGTTAGCTCTCTTCCCCCTCTGGTTTCAACTCACTTTTCAGAGTTGAACATGACCGTGAGAGCACGCATTATGTGACGCGTGAAAAACTTTTAGATGGAAATATTCCCATTTACTTTCAACCCCTAGAAAAGTCTGAAAAATAAAGTAAAAACCGTTTCCAAGCCCCTAAAGAAGTCTGATGCCATTCTTTTTCAGAATACAGCAGACTGGAAAATACCTTGGGAGGAGGGACTTTCAGAAGCGATACACTGGCTGTAAGCGGGAGATAGAATACGATCTAGTTAACAACACAGGGTGGGGCGAGAGTAGGTTTACAGTTGTTCATAAACGGTTTTACTTACAACTGCAAACCTTTGGCAGCAAGGTTAGGCTTAGGCTTTGGCAGCAAGCATCCCATCCTTCGGATGAAGGAGCCAAGGAGCGACGGCAGGGGGCGCACAGGAGCTTCCTAGTTCAAAAACCGCCAACTCCCTTGTGTTTAGATAAAGAGCCACTTTCTGGGCCGCTGCCGCAGAAACTATCATTGCTGGTTTCTACCAATCTTACAATCACCAGGCAAAACACGGAAAAAGCCCGGCGCGGCGTCATGGGGAAGCGACATCAATGAACCCCAGTCCCCAAGTGGTCAACGTCATCTGCCCGGGCCTTAGGTGCACCGCGCGACCACACGAGGCGGCGCCCACGTCAGGTGGATGGGCCTGGGCAGGGCGCAGGGAGGAGGTCCGGTCCTGGAGCCTGGAGGGGAGGCCGACGCCCACCCCACCTGGTGTGCCTGGAAGACATGGCAGCAGCAGCACCGCAGGACCCGAGCCTGCGGAGGAGGCTCCATGGCGGCCTCCGGCCAGGCTTCGCGAGGGCGTGCGCTCCCAATGGACCTCCGCTCAGTTCCCGCGTCCTCCGGGTTCTGCTCCCAGGAGGCACTCGGATGCCCCCAGCCACAGCCCCGGCCCCGCCCCACCTCGTGTGCGCGTGCGCCCTGCGCTTCTGCCCGCCCGGGCCGCGCCCCCTGCCGGCGCACGGAGGAGGCCAGCCCCACCCCCGCGTGCGCCGGGCGCCCGGGCCTCGGCCCACGCCGCCCCTGCAGGAGCCCCCTCCCCGCTTAGCCCCCAGCGCTTCTGGGCCGTTGGCTGGGCCCCTTGCTACACCAGGACTGCAATCCGCATTTGCTGCCCAGTCGGGCGTAGTTTGTGGTTTGAATTAGTGTTTGATCTCAGACCAGTTCCCTTCTCTCCCTGGGCCAGCACTTCCTCGTGGGGTCGCTGGACGGATCGTAGTCGCGAGGGCAGGGCCTCGACCCGTTGCTGCGGGTCCAGCCTTCGCCCGCACTGTTCCCTCTGCTTCTTCCAGTCCCGGAGAGGTGGCGAAGAGGGTGCTGGAGGGCGCCTCCCCCCGGCCCACCTCTTGGGCCCGAGGCTGGAATTTGCGGGACAACTGAGCGGACGTGGTCAGTTAACCTGGAGCCCGAGCCGGGAGGGCCGGGCAGCGGAGGACGCCGGGAAGCAGTCACGGTCACGGAGGCGGCGGTAAACGAAACCAGTTCAGTCTGCAGCCCGCGGAAGCCCCACTGCTCAGGCCCCACTCTGCAGGTGCAGGAGCAAGGCTGCCAAGGCAGGCGCGGGGTCGCAACCTGCGGTCCCCAGCGGCAGAAGCCAAACCCGAGCCTGTGAAGACTGTCAGTGACTGCCAGTTTCCCTATTTTTCACTTCCTCCCCATCTCAGGCAGATCAGAGAAAGCCAATTATGCTGCCCCACCAACATCCTGCTTCCAGTCAGCCAACCCCAGCGTCGCCGCCCCACGCGCACCAGAAGACGGGTGGTTTTCTAAGCCTCCCCACCCTGCTGCCTGGGTTCGCAGTGTCTGCTAAGTGCGAGTGGCAGTGGCTGATTCCTTTTCTATAGCATGTGCTGGGTAAATAGTCCCTCTTCTTTTTTAGGGGAGTCTTTATTTCTATGTTCGAGTCACGCGCGAAGAATGTTTTATGCTTAATGAAAAAGAGCAGAATAAAAATTTCAGACACAGTATGAATTCAACTTTGAAAAAATAAATATAGAAAACAAGAAACACCAAAATACTGAGCAATAGTCTTAAGGAAACATTGTTTTTCTACTTTTCTCTATTTTTTCCCCTCCTTTCTGAAATAAACATGTAATCCTTTTAAAACTCATAGATATGTGTTTTTTTCTTGAAAATCATAAGAATGATTTAATGAATGGTTTGGTACACTATTTCACTTGGTAAGTAGGTTTAAAACATATATGCAGATAGCCCTGGCCTGTGTGGTTTGGTTGGAGGGTTGTTCTGTAACCCAAGGGTCGCAGGTTCAATTCCTAGTCAGGGATACATTCCCAGGGTTTGGATTCTCTCTCCATTTGGGGTGTGTCTGAAAGGCAACCAATCCATGTTTCTCTCATATCAATGTTTCTCACTCTCTCCCTCTTCCATTTTTGCTAAAGCAATGGAAAAAAAAGTCCTCAGGTGAGGATTGAAAAATAAAAAGAAATATACAAATATACAGAATAAACATACATTAACATTTTTAGTTGACATGTCCCTATCCATCCAGCTGGGTGCTCTGGTTCAGACTGCGTGTGCCAGGGCCAGTTCCTCTGCTGGCTAGCATTCAGCTCAGTAAGTCCTTTCTTCCAGAGAAGCTTTAGGCTGTGAAAGTTTGTTTTTTTTTTTCAAGATTTTATTTATTTAGAATTTCTGACCAAGATGGAGGTGTAGATAGACACTGTGTGTGCCTTCTCACACAACCAAAATAAAGACAACAACAATTTAGAAACAAAATAACAACCAGAACTGACAGAAAATTGAACTGTATGGAAGTCCAACAACCAAGGAGTTAAAATAGACAAATTCATCCAGACCAGTAGGAGAGGCGAAGTCAGGCGGAGAGGGATCGGGGCAGAAAAAGGGGTGGCTTTTGGACACTGAGCGGACAAGGCAGCAGCTGACAAATCCCAGGCACGCAAGATGGCAGCGGGCGGACTCTGGGCGCAGTGTAGCAACAGGCAGACCCAATGGGGCAGTGATTGTGAAGTAGGGCACAGCACGCCAGGCGGCTGGCGGACAGGGTGGTCCCACATTCGCACGCAGATAAACCAGGAGAAACTGGGGAGTGAAACAGACCCGCAACCCAGGGTCCCAACAGGAAAATAAAGCCTCAAACCTCTGACTGAAAACACCTGTGGGGGCTGAGGTGCTGGGAGAGACTCCTAAGCCTTGCAGGAGAACTTGTTGGAGAGACCTACAGGGTCCTAGAAGGTACACAAGTCCAACCACCCGGGAATCAGCACCGGAAGCGCCCAAATTGCTTGTGGGAAGTAGGGGAAGAGACTGAAATCCAGCAGAGAGTGGAGCAAGTGCCATTATTCCCTCTCAGACCCCTCCCCCACATACAGCATCACAATCCACAATGACATGATGCCTGGCCCCGGTGAACACCTAAGGCTTTGCCATTCATACATAACAGGCATGACCAGAACCACTCCCCCAAAAATGGCCCAAACAGAAGAATAGATCAAAGCTCCACAGCAAATACAACTAAGTGACCAAGAGATAGCCAACCTATCAGATGAACAGTTCAAAACACTGGTGATCAGGATGCTCACAGAATTGGTTGAATTTGTTCACAGAATTTCACAGAATTAGATGAAAAAATGAAGGCTATGCTAAGTGAAATGAAAGAAAATGCACAAGGAAGCAACAGTGATGGGAAGAAAACTGGGACTCAAATCAATGGTGTGGACCAGAAGGAAGAAAGAAACAACCAAACAGAAAAGAATGAAGAAACAAGAATTCTCCTGGCTGGTGTAACTCAGTGGATTGAGCGCGGGCCTGTGAACAAGAGGATCATGGTTCGATTCCCAGTCAGGGCACATGCCTGGGTTACAGACCAGTTCCCAGTAGGGGACGCACTAGAGGCAACCATACATCGCTATTTCTCTCCTTCTCTCCTTCCCTTCCCCTCTAAAGATAAATAAAATCTAAAATCAAACAAACAAAAATTCAAAAAAATGAGAAGCTCAGGAACCTCCAGGACATCTTTAAATGCTCCAACATCCAAATTATAGGGGTACCAGAAGGGGGAAGAGGAAGAGCAACAAGTGGAAAAGTTATTTGAACAAATCATAAAGGAGAATTTCCCCAATCTGGCAAAGGAACCAGATGTCCAGGAAGCTCAGAGAGTCCCAGAGAAGTTGGACCCAAGGAGGAACATACTAAGGCACATCATAATTATATTAGCCAAGATTAAAATGAAGGAGAGAATCCTAGAAGCAGCAAGAGATAAGGAGACAGTCACCTACAAAGGAGTTCCCATCAGACTGTCAGCTGATTTCTCAAAAGAAACCTTGCAGGCAAGAAGGGGCTGGAAAGAAGTATTCCAAGTCATGAAAGGCACCCAAGATTACTCTATCCAACAAAGCTATCATTTAGAATGGAAGGGCAGATAAAGTGCTTCTCAGATAGGGTCAAATTCAAGAAGTTCATCATCTCTAAGTCCTTATTATATGAAATGTTAAAGGGACTTACCTAAGAAAAAGATAAAAAACATGTAGTAAAATGCCAGCAAACTCACGATTATTAACAACCACACCTAAAACAAATACAAACTAAGCATACAAGTAGAACAGGAACAGAACCACAGAAATAGAGATCAATCACATGGAGGGTTAGCAACGGGGGAGTGGGAGGTGGAGAGAGGGGGGAAAAGGTACAGAGAATAAATAGCATAGATGTAGGTAAAAAATAGGGGGAGGGCAATAATAGTATGGGAAATGTAGAAGCTAAAGAAGTTATGATACATGGACATGAACTAAAGGGGGGAATGTGGGTGGGAGAGGGTGTGTAGGGTGGAGGGGAATACAGGGGGGAAATGGGACAACTGTGATAGGATAATCAATAAGATATATTTTTAAAAAATATTTTATTTATTTACCTTAGAGGAAAAGACAGGAAAGGAAGAAAGAAACATCAACCTGTTGTTGCCTCTCTCACCCCCCCTGCTGGGGACCTGGCCTGCAACCCGGGCACGTGCTCTAACTGGGAATTTAACCAGTGACCCTTTGGTTTGCAGGTTGGTGCTCAATCCATTGAGCCACAGCAGCCAGGGGTGGCTGTAACAGTTTTTAATACTGTTCTGGTTGTTAAGCATTTGGCATAGCATTCCAGGTTGAATGATAAATAGGCGAAAAAAAGTACGTGTATTTTTTTGTACATTCCTTTATCATACTGAAGGGAAGCAGAGTTTGTCAACCCCAAAATATGTTTCTTTGGGATATTACCATAAGCTGGTTATTTTTAAGAAATGAGACTCCAGAAAAACTTTGCCCTTCCCTTGAAGTTTAGACGGAGGACCTGCTCCAGAAAAGGAGCTCTTGTCACAGAGAACTAAAGTTTAATAGGAGCTAGTATGTTTCAGACAGTGGGGAGCGAGCAAGGCCTTTTGGATCAAAGTCCTCTCTGAGCCCATTGCTAAATATGGACCAGTAAACATTTGCTTCCCAAACATTTGCTCTCCATCTCCCCGTGAATAGCCGAGCCACTTGGAAGTCCCGAACCACTATGTTCTCGCTTTGCTCCTCAGGTCAAGGTGGCATGTAGACCTCAACTGCAGATGTTTCCTTGGGCCCCATATTCTTATGGAACCCCTGTATGTGCATCGTACTTACATTTGGTTATTTTCTCTGGTTAATTTGTCTCGTGTCAATTATTAGATGGGCCAGAAAGACAAAGTGGGTCAGAGGAAACTTCCCCTCCCTCATAATAGAAAAAGATTTCTCTTTTATATTCTCCTATTTAATTTTTTGGTATATTCTCAAATTTGTACTTCTACATGGTATACAAAACACTTATCCTGCCCTGGCCAGATAGCTCATTTGGTTGGAGCATCATCCCGATATGCCAAGGTTGCGGGTTTGATTCCTGGTCAGGGAGCATAAAAGAATCAAGC